GAAGGCTGCATAGTGGAGTGGACCTGGGGGAAGGATTGTAAAACAATGAAAGAATTTTTCTTTTACTTTTCCAAGAAGATAGTGTACTGGGGTGGGGAGGGCTGGAGGGGAGAAAAGTGCAACAATGAATGAATGGAAATCCAAAGTCTCTGTAAATTTTCATTGAAATTAATAATAAATTTAAAAAAAAGGAAAAAATTCTTTTTTAAATTCACATTGTGTTTATGATCATTCCCATATAAGATGAATCACCATTTGATCTATTCCCACTGTTACCCTGTCTTCTCACATCCTCCTGAATCTTTCCTAATTCCTTCATCCCCTCCCTCCACTCAACAAACTCTCTGACCCTGTCGCTGCCCCCTTTCCCCCCACCCCATCCCTCCCCTTCCCTCCTTGGATAGTCGTACACATCTTACTAATTATCCTTCTATTTTTACAGTAATGGTCGTTTGCAGTGTTTGTCCTTATGAGCCTGAGTTCACTCAGCACAATGCCCACCAGCCTCTCCAGTGTTATATAGTATTTTTCAAAATTGTTATTTGGAGTGTTGCACAGTATTCCATCATGTGAAAGCACCAAGATTTCTCAATTCATTTATTTGTTCATCTGGTTTAAAATATTCATTATAAAGGATTCTGAGCCTTGTTGAGCTTTTTAAAGTATGATTAATTTTTTCTCTTTTTAATGAAAAAAATTGTCCCCATTTGCATTTGATCTACATTTTACAGAAATTTTATAAATATTAAAGCTTTTAACACTTTTAAAAAAATGAGTAACATTGCAATAGAAAATATGATTCTTGACTGAACCTCTCATTTTTGTAATGCAGTATTATTCAGGTAAAAACTGTCTGAAAACCTTTAATATTTGGCAGACTTCTGTAAAATGTTGATCTTGACTTTTTGAATGAAGTATTCAAATGCAAATCACAGGTGATCATTTTTGTAAACATGTAATGATTCCACAGTTTTGCCCCTAAATACTTTGATGATTCTTTCCATAAATACTTACTGCAATGCAATATACAACGTTTATGAATTTTATTACATTGCTTTATATGCTGCTGTGGTGTCCTGCTGGGTAAGGAATTGCACTGCCAACGCAGAGCCAGGTGGTTTCAACCTACCAGCTGCTCCTGGGGAGAAAGATGAACAGTCTCTTTCCATGGAATTTACAGCCTCTGAAAACTCACTGGAGGGTCAGCTGTGAGCAATGAGTTTGAGTAATAATGAATAAATAACATGATTGTAGGGGCTGTTTTTAATGCTTGGTTAATTTTATGGCTTAGATTTAAATATTTCTTTACTGACCCACCTTCCTTTTTTGTTTGTTTTTAAAAGGTACAGACATGCTGAAGAAGTCCAGTGTAAAGTGCTCAGTGGTACGTGGAGATGGGAAGACTCAGTCGCTGGAAGGAAAGGTGGCGTATTGTAGCTAATAATTAGAATATTCAGGAGACTGGGTGGTGCAGTGGTTAAGTGGTTGGTTGCTAATCAGAAGGTCTGAACCTGCACAGCGTGGCTCCGTGGCCTCGTGGGTAGGGATTGCGCTGCCTGCCCAACGTGGTACCTCTGTGGTGGTTTGAGTCTGCCAGCAGCGTGGCAGGAGAAGGATGGACACTCTCCTCTGTGAGATTTACAGCCTCTGAAATCCGGCCCATGAGTCGGCTGTGAGGACGTTCTCTCTCGACGACAGTGAGTTTGAGAAATTCCATGAGAGAAGGACGTGGTAGTCAGCTTCGATTACAACAGATGGGACAATTCTCTTCGGCCCTGTAAAGGCACTGTGGGTTGTTACTGACTCAGTGTACCTAGCGGTAACATGGCCCTCATTTATTCTACAACTGCTTATTTAAGAAAGCCCTTCAGAAGCGTCTCACTGCCATCAAGTTGATTCTGACTCATGGGAACCCAGCAGGACAGAGTAATGCCTCATGGGGCTGGGAGGCTGTAAATCTTTACAGGAACAGAATGCCTATCTTTGTCGCTCAGAGCTGCTAGTGGATTTGATCTGGCAGCCTTTTGGTTAGCAGCCAATACTTAGCTCATTAAGCCGCCAGGAATCCTTTTGCTAGTAATTAGGTGGGTACTATATACTGGGCACTTAAGATGTGAATGGAAGTCCTCAAAGACTCCTCTCATGGAGCTTAGAGTTCAGTTTGGGTGAGGGGAAGGAAAAGACAGAGGAGTGCAGTAGACCCCGGCTGCACAATGGGATGTCGTAGAAGTAAGGCCAGTGATTCTGGGAGTAACTGGAGGGTCGTCTCGCTGAGTTGCAGTGTTACTGCCTTTTACTTTTCCTGTGTGTTTGGGAGGGTAATCTGGGACGTCCTTCTGAAGTATGAAAGCTGAATCTAAAGAATGAGTAGGAGCTGGTCTGCCTTAGAGCCCTGGGCTTTAGAGAGCTGGGGAAGACATTGAAAGCTGGGAATTTTCTGACCGTGGAAACAGCGTACAATTGGGGATGGAGCATACACCTCCTGATGGCTGAATAGTGTGGGTGTGTCTAGAAAAGGAGTGCAAGCGGAGGTCTTCTCTCCAAAGACCTTGTGTATGAGATGACATGATGGTCAAGACCATGGACTCTGGAACCAAACTACCCATGTTCACATCCTCACCTAATGTGATCAACTCAAACCCTCTCGATTAAAATGGGATAATAGTATATCTTATTTCACAGGTCTTTCCTTAGGTTGATAGTATTTGCACCTGGAGTGAGGAGAAAGCCTTATTAGACCAACAAGGGACTCTAACTCATTGCCGTCAAGTCAGAACCAGCTCACTGCTGACCCCTGTTGGACTGAAAATTCATCTTTGTCCCAAGCAGCTGCTGGCAGATTCAGACACCAAGAAGCTTGGCTTTAAATTGTATATGCTGTTGTGCACTGTTGAGTCAGAACCAACCCATAGCTGACTCTTCAGTGGGTTTTCAGAGGCAGTAGATCATACGGGAGGAAATTGTCCATCCCCCTCCCACAGAGTATCTGATGGATTTGAATCACATGCCTCTGGGATTGCAGCACGGCTTCTTACCACGAGGCTACCAGAGCCTTAATTTTTTTTTTAAATTTCTTGTAATTATTTTTTTTTTAATTTTATGCCGTTTTTGCCTACAAAGTTCGTATATATTACCCCTCACAGAGCTCCAATAATTTTTAGTGAATGAAAATTTTAAATTTCAGTGAACTTCAACTGTACTTCTTAAATCTGTGAGGCAGAGAGCAACATAATTTATTTTTTACTCCCCTTTTTTCAAAGGCATTTTGAAAAGCCATGGCTCGTGGCTGAAAGAAGAGGGTACCAGAGGAATGTATGTCTGTGTTTCTGTGACTGTGCATTTGACAATGTGGATTGCAACAAATTGTGTCCAATGTAGAAGAATGGGAATCCCAGAACACAAAACCTACACTTGGACCAGGAAATAGTTGTCAAAACAGAGCAAGGAAACACTGCGTGGTTCAAAATCAGAAAAGGAGTATGTCAGGGATGTGTTCTTTTCCCATACCATTGAATCTATACATGGAACAGATCATTTGGGAGGCTGGGCTCTATGGTGGGAACTGTGGCAACAGGGTTGGAAGAAGACTCATCAACAACCTGTGTTATGCAGGTGATACACCCTTGTTTGCTGAAAGTGAGGAGGGCCTGAAGTGTTTGCTGCAGAAGGTCAAGGACTGGAGTCTTCAATATGGATTGAAGTTCAGTATCAAGAAGACAAGGATTCTTACCACTGAGCCAATTGGTAGCACTATGATAAATGGAGAAGAGATTGAGGTTATTAACAATTACAGCTTGCTTGACTCCACAGTCAACACTCTTGGCACCAGTAGTCAGGAAATTAAAAGTTGAATTGTACTGGGAAACTCTGCTGTCAGAGACCTCTCCAGAGTGCTAGCGAACAACGATGTTAAGTCTACAGACTAAGGTGCACCTGATCCACGTCATAGTCTTTGCAATTACTAGCTATGTATTATAGAAATGGACAGTGACTAAGAAGAAGAATTGATTCCTTTGAGTTGTGGTACTGGAGAAGAGTATTGAACATTCCATAGATTGACAAGAGAACAAACAGATCTGTCTTGGAGATGGGTTAAACCAAGCTGCTCCTTTCAGGGAAGGATTTTGAAGTTCTATCAACAACAACAACAACAACCACAACTCTATCACGGTTTCAAAGGTATTTATTAAAATATCCGTAACTGTGTGCTGGTAATTTGATAGCCATAATCACCCATTGTAAAAATGCAGGAACATCCCAGAGGTGCACAGTTCAAATCCACCAGATGCTCTGCTCAAGAAGGAGGGACAGTCTCCTGTACCAGTCAGATCTGATTTGACGGTACACACACACAAAAGAATAATAAAAAAATTTAAAAACACAAGGGCAAGCCGTTCTTCACAGACCGAGTTTTCATCTTCTCATGAGCTCCCTTTTCTTTTGTCCTCCACCCTGCAATTTTATGTTTGGAAACTTTCGCTTGAAAACCACATTATACCTCGTTATAAGAAAAACATGAGCATAAGGTTTCTGTGACCATATAACCCTAATTGTTAAAAATTTCTTTCAAAGTTATTGAAAATTTTACTAGTTTGGAATTCTTTATAAATAAATATTTTGAAAAATAATTAAACATTTAAAAAGAAATTTTATGCATAGAGATACTAATTTTTTCTCAGTTGGTTTGTGGATCTGTGAACAAATATTGCTCATTGATAGAATGGGACAGAAGACTTAGTCATGATTTGGAAAAAAACGTTTGATAGATCCAGGTTTCAAGAAGTCTTGTAAAAGCAGAAGGGAATGGATGGAATTTAGTTATTGCAGAGTTCTTTATTTTTTTTAAGCTTTTCCTTTTTATTTGGGAAAGTCCCCCAAAATGATCATATAAACAAAAAATGTATTTAAATTGCTTATCATCTGACAATTCTTAGACTTCATTTTACTTTTGTTTAAAGAATGAGAAACCATCACTTGACTCTCAGAAAGATTTTTACTCATTATCAAAGTCACATATTTGTTTTCTCAGTGTTCAAAATTACAGCCAGAAGGCCTTATCAAGCCTCAACACATGACTAATTGTTACTTTTTCAGTAGAGCACCTAGATTAATTTAGAGTAGGAAGCAGGATTAGCCATCAAGTTCTTATATACCTGGCCTCTGAAAACCCTATAAACAGCAGACTAACATGGGTAGTATAGTATTGGTGGTCGAGCCCAGATCAGTGCAAATGAGGAAAAAATAATAGCAAATAGCCTTTAATAAATAAAACATGGGATGTATGTAACTTGAATGTTGGAAAGCCAGAAATTGAGGAGAATGAAGTGCAACACATGAATATCAACATTCTAGGTATTAGTGAGTTGAGATGGGCCAGCTTTGGCCACTTTGATTCACATAATCCCAGGGTACTCTTCTGGGAATGAAAAATAGAAGAATGGTGTTGCATTCATAGTAAAAAAATCAATTTCACTTTCTACGAAGATGGAGCCAAAAGCAAAGAAGGAAGCCCCTGCCCCTCCCAAAACTGAAGCCAAAGCAAAAGAATTAAAGGCCAAGAAGGCAGCTCTGAAGGGCATCCACAGTTAAAAAAAAAGAAGATCCACATGTCACCCACCTTCTGGTGGCCTAAGACGCTGAGACTCTGAAGGCAGCCCAAATACCCCTGAAGAGCACCCCTAGGAGAAACAAGCTTGACCACTATGCCATCATCAGATTTTCCCTGACCACTGAGTCAGCCATGAAGAAGATAGAAGTTAACAACACACTTGCGTTCACTGTAGATGTCAAGGCCAACAAGCACCAAATTAAACA